GTCATAATTCAAAATGATCTGGACAAATTGGAGAAATGGTCTGAGGTAAACAGGATGAGGTTTAACAAAGACAAATGCAAAGTGCTCCACTTAGGAAGGAACAATCAGTTTCACACATACAGAATGAGAAGCGACTGTCTAGGAAGGAGTATGGCAGAAAGGGATCTAGGGGTTATAGTGGACCAGAAGCTGAATATAAGTCAACAGTGTGATGCTGTTGCAAAAAAAGCAAACATGATTCTGGGATGCATTAACAGGTGTGTTGTGAACAAAACATGAGAAGTCATTCTTGCGCTCTACTCTGCACTGGTTAGGCCTCAGCTGGAGTATTGTGTCTAGTTCTGGGCACCGCATTTCAAGAAAGATGTGGAGAAACTGGAGAGGGTCCAGAGAAGAGCAACAAGAATGATTAAAGGTCTAGAGAACATGACCTGTGAAGGAAGGCTGACGGAATTGGGTTTGTTTAGTTTAGAAAAGAGAAGATTGAGGGGGCACATGATAGCAGTTTTCAGATATCTAAAAGGGTGTCATAAGGAGGAGAGAGAAAACTTGTTCATCTTGGCATCTGAGGATAGAACAAGAAGCAATGGGCTTAAACTGCAGCAAGGGAGGTTTAGGTTGGACATTAGGAAAAAGTTCCTAACGGTGAGGGTGGTCAAACACTGGAATAAATTGCCCAGGGAGGTTGTGGAATCTCCATCTGTGGAGATATTTAAGAGTAGGTTACATAAATGTCTATCAGGGATGGTCTAGACAGTATTTGGTCCTGCCATGAGGGCATGGGACTGGACTCGATGACCTCTCAAGGTCCCTTCCAGTCCTAGGATTGTATGATTCTATGAAATAGGCCACAAAACAGTCACACTGAGCGCTTCAGCTACCAATCTGGCCAGCCAGGAGCCTCATGAGGAAAACCACTCTGACGCCTCAGCTCCCACTGTGCTGCAATCAGCCCTGGGCCTAACACACAGGTGAGGGGTTATAGAACCCAATCTCACCTACCCCGAATGGGTTCTTCAAGTCCCAAGAAACCAGCCATAGGTCCAAGTCAATTTACACTCCGGATCTTACCCACAAGACCACTCTGGGCCAGTTCTTTAGAATCTAAAATCTAAAGGTTTATTACTAAAAGAAAGAAAAGCACGAGAGTAAGTTTGTTAAGGAGAATACATTATATGCATCGAATCACCAAGTTCTCGATACAGGCTCTTAGCAGAGATGTTATGAACTGCTATCTTAAAAATCCTATGTCAGGATGGGTCCACGGTTCTTCCTGGCTCGTTGTCCCTGCAAGGCTGCATCTGGGATCAGGAGCTGAACTGAAGACCAGATGGAGATTGCCACATGGCACTTATAGACCTCTCCTGGCATCTTCCTGGCCAGAGCAGGTCACATGGTCAAGTGACCAATCCCCGTTTCACATGCTGGCAGCCATTAAGCCCTGGCTGGTTTGCAGGTATCCAGATGTGCAGACACATTCTTCAGGTGTGTATTGGCACCTGGAGATTCATTGTCTATGTGGCCTTGCTAATTTGCATAGCCACTGGCTGAACAGTCTTTGCCCCTTGCTCTGTCTCAGACAGAGAATTTTCCAGCATAAGCACAGAGTACATTTTTATAACTCCACATGCAGATATCATACAAGCGCATGAAAAGCATACGCAGAATCAGTAGAACATAAGCTTTCATTTGACACCTCACATGGCTCACTTTGAACTGACTTTTGGGGCAAACAGCCCTTCCCCCACCCAGGTGCAGCAATCGCCTTAAAAATTCAATAACATGACACAGGGGCCACTTCAAAAATGTTTGAAGTGGCCCTGGGCCACACAGGAAGGGGTGGGACATCAAGCAGAAAGGGCGGGGCCAAGATACTTCCAGTTCCCCACCCTCAGACAATGATTGATCTGGGGGTGAGGGAGTCCTTTTGCCCTCCCCATGTTCTTCCTAGGTGCCCATGCCCCTGCCGTGGGAGGAGACTTCCTGCACTCCCATGCCCCTATGCTAAATAGGGCCAGGGTAGGAGAGTGCGCAAAACCTCCTCTGCTCTCCCTCCACCCTGCGAGTAGCACACGGTGCTTCAAAGTGCCACATGCTCCTGGCAGGGTGGGAGGAGGTTTCATTCACTGCCCCACCCACAGGCCCTAACTGGCCTGGGGGCAGAGGAGCATCCGGGAGGCCCTTTTGCCCACCCCTGCATTAGAGCCATATTGACACCAGCCCCCAGCCCTGCCTGGGCTCCTGCGTCCGTACCAGCACTGGGAATCCCCCCTCCTGGTATCAGATAGGAAGAGGAGGGGGCTGGAGGCCCAGAGTGAGTGAGCGCATGTGCCTGCGTGTGTGCATGTGAGAGAGACGCACACACATGCTGATTCTTTCTCCTTGCTGCCCCAAGAGTCCAGCCCTAGTACCGAGGGACTCATCTATGCTGAGCTGGACCGCCAGGTGCTGCAGACCAAACAGGGGAGCCCGGCCCCTGCCCCCGAGCCTGTCCTGTACACAGCCATCAGCACCCCTCTTCTACCCCCATAGCCTGAACTGGGGGAGTCATTGGAGCAACGGAGCAGGGAGCATGGCCCCCAGGGACTGACACAATGATTGCTCCCCACCCCCGAAAACAGGCGTAGCTTATGGTTTCCCCATAACGCCCCCTGCATCTGACAACATCTCACACAGGGGGAGACAAATGGAGGGTTTGAGGGGGGCTCAGTGCCAAGATGTGGCGGGGACTGTTTGTGTTATTTTGCATCCTGTTCATCTCCAGATTTGTAATAAACACAGAACCACAAACCAGACCCCATAATAGGCACCAGGCATGAAACCAACACAAGGCAATATTTCTTCACACTACACAGTGTCAACCAGTGGAACTCCTTGCCAGGGGATGTTGTGAAGGCCAGGACTTTAACAGGGTTCAAAAAAGAGCTAAATTCAAGGAGGATAGGCCCATCAATACGTAGCAGCCAGGAAGGGTAGGAATGGTATACCTCGCCTCTGTTTGCCTGAAGCTGGGAATGAGCGACAGGGGAAGGATCACTTGAAGATTCCCTGTTCTGTTCACTCCCTCTGGAGCACCTGTCATTGGCCACTGTTAGAAGGCAGAACACTAGGCTAGATTATAAGATGTTATAAGTAGCACATAGGATTTTTTTCAGAGAAAAAAGCAACATAGTGTGTTTATTGAAAACAACATGAGAAGCAGCATATGCATTCACAAAACACACATACCAGGCTGTCCTGGCTCAGGTCAATCTTGTGCTCAGTTTGATTGAACATGAGGGAGGAGCTGGGCCCTGCTGCTCATGATTCGATGCTCCGAGGTCTTGGAGGATTGAACCCAGAGTCCCCCGGCAAACGCAGCCCATTTCTGTACTTGTGCGATCCCATGTGAGTTGATGGGTTTTGCACTGTCGTGCTGCTGTCCATGAGCCTAATCTTGGCATTTTCCTGTAGTTGTCCTTTGATGGGGCTTCCCCTCATTAGTTCTTGTTCCCAGCCTCACATTGTCTCCAAGGCTGATCCAGTCTGTTAATTCATCAGGAACGCTGGACGTTCTTTGCTCCATTCCAAGTCTCTCACGTCTGCTTGGCCGTGTGGACATGCATGATGCTTTCCCACTGCACAATCTTACGGAGCATTTCAGACACCGGATTACATAGTAAGTATTACCTGGAAGCGCAGCCCAGGAGAAATCCAGGGGCCGCCCAGCTAATTGGCAGAGCGCCCACAGCCTCCCACAGCTGGCACACAGTTTTATTTCTGGTGGTGGTGTACAATTGCCCATGCCTCAGTGCACATAACAACATTTATTCCATCATTGGATGGATAAATTAGAGGGACCACTGTGCACAGTTACTAAAGAAATGACAAAAGACCTTTACATCAGTTCATTGGCAATGCAGACAAGAAGCACAACTTGCTTGGTGATGCAAACGAGAAGTGAGGGGGACGTGCAGGGTAGAATCACACAGAACTTATATGCCAGTCGTTGGTTAGGTCTCATTACCCCATCATACTTCTATTCTTATCCCAGCACTAGAAGTGCCGTGCGGGGTGGAACATCGAATCACACAGAACACCTATAACAAACACTGCACGGGATTCATCCCCTTCTCTGCACAGCGGGATCCAGGCTTCTGGGGAATGATTTGAATAATCTGAGATACAGCAGGTGAGAGGATCCTGTGTCACCCCGGGCCCAGCCCCCAATGTGGGATGAGAGCTGAGAGGATGATGGGGAGGGAGGAGAAGTACCTGGGGTGGGGGAGAGCTAGTGACACAGAAGGGACCAAGTGTTTGAGGGGTCACTCCCTCCTCCAGCCAGACCCCACTGGGCGCTCAGAGTGGGGAAAGGGCCAGGATTGGTGTCATGCTGACTTGCATCAAAGCACCATTGTGTGTGGGGGGGGGAGGGGGCGGCAGGTACCCAGTTGCTTCACCTGCCTCTGCCCTGGCAAAGCTCTGGAGGGAGGATTTCAGCCCTGGAGAGTTGGGGGATGGACAAAAAGGGGGAGTTGCCTCACCCAGTGTGTGCCTCTCCTCCAGCCGTGGGCAGCCTCAGCCAGGATCAGGGCCAGGCCCAGCAGCACCCCGGCAGCCAGGGCCAGACGGATGATGTTGTGCCGTGTGTAATCTGTGGGTGACAGAAGGGGAAGGGGGCAGGTGCTGTCAGACCCACTGGGCCCCTCCTGCCCCCTAGGACAGGAAGCTGTGATAGCTCCCTATCCCCATCCCCCACATCTGCCTCTGTGTGTCCCAGTGTGAACCCCAGTCCTTCCCACTGCAGGGAGCCCCCCCCCCATGGTGCCTGGCCCCACATACCCCCAGTGACTCCAACCTCTCTCCCCATCCAACCCCCGCCCTTTGTGGCTCCATCTGGGGGATTCCTGGGACAGAGCCAGCCCATTTAATTGGCTGAGGGGTCCCCTCCTTTCCCCTCACTGTCCAGGGCTGGGGCTGGCACAGAGTGACCGGGAGATGCTGATCTGGGACCCTCACCTCTCACCACCAGCCGTGCGGGGTCGCTGGGGTGGGACAGGGTGACTAGCTCCCATGAGGTGCGATAGGAGCAGCTGTAGCTCCCTGCATCTTCCGATGTGGTGCTGGCCACGGGGAACTCAGTCACGTGCCCCAAAGGGGCCATGCACCCCAGTAGCCCCGATCTTTGTAGGGAAGGAAGGTGGAGTTCTGGGACCCAGCCCGGCAGCAGATGGTGGCATGTGGCTCTGGGTGGGACAGGGTGACTAGCTCCCATGAGGTGCGATAGGAGCAGCTGTAGCTCCCTGCATCTTCCGATGTGGTGCTGGCCACGGGGAACTCAGTCACGTGCCCCAAAGGGGCCATGCACCCCAGTAGCCCCGATCTTTGTAGGGAAGGAAGGTGGAGTTCTGGGACCCAGCCCGGCAGCAGATGGTGGCATGTGGCTCTGGGCAGACGCCCTTACTGGGGCTGACAGAGATGGCGGGCCAGGGCAGAGTGGGCTCTGGGAGCAGAATGAGACAGGCCGTGAGAGGGGGTTGTGTTCTTCAAAACCCCCCCCCCCCCCGACACTTGTCCATGGGAAGAGTCCCACACAGAGCCCTGGGTTTGCAGGCGCTGGGTGGGGATGAGCCAGAGTTTGAGGCGATGTGGGGAGGGGCTGGCTGCACAGCCCATATGCCTGGCCCTCTGTGCACCCCTCAAGTTGGCCAGGAAAGGCCTTTGCTCTACAGCTCCCTCTGACAACAGGGTCTCCCATTCCCGAAACTCAAATCTCCAGTGGCTGCAGCTCCTCCATTCTCTGCTCCCCGGCTGCGTGTCCCCTCTCTTGTCTTCACAACCCCATCATTAGGTTCCAGGGTAAACGCTGTGTCCCTCTGAATGGCTGGGCTCAAGCGTTAACTCCCTGATTATCTGGGTAGCTAGGTTCCAGGGTTAACACACTGTGCACAGCTCTCATGTGAAGGGGAGCCCTGCTTGTGTAGGGCTCAGGGCAGAGCCTGGCTCTTATTTGGTGCAAAACCTCCCTGAAGATTTGGCTGGGCATGGGACTGGGTGTGGGGATGCCGAGCAGGGCCCTCACCTACTACCACCAGCTCCACAGGGTCACTGAGCTGCGAGGAGACAAAGGGCTCTGAGCGGGGCCGGTAGCTGCAGCTGTAGCTCCCTCCATGCTGCTGGCCCACAGGGTGGATGTGGAACTCAGCCCCGTCCTCAGCAGGGTCCATGGGGCGCTGCTGTTCCAGGTTTCCAGGCGGGTGCAGGAAGAATCTCATGTCCCGGCCTGGCCCCTGGCACCAGATGGTGATGTCTTCCCCTGGGGTGGTGACCCAAGTGGGTCTCAAAGAGATGGAGGGTCTGGGCAGGCTGGGATCTGTGTATAGGAGACAGGTAGTGAAAGCCAGACCCCAGTAGCCACCCGGGTCCATCCTCCCTGGCAAAGTTCCCACTAAGATGCCCAACCATGCAGCTACGCTCTGTGTCCTGTGTAGAGGTTCAAAGCTCCCTATGCAAGCAGGGAGCACAGCTGATCGGCAGGGACTGGGCCTCCCTAAAGAGCAGCTAAACCCTGCGGCATGCTTGAAATGGAGACAGTCAGCCGAGATAAGCAGGGAATGAGTGGCTGGGAGGAGGAAGGGAGGGAGTAATTAGTTAATTGGCTCAGGGAAAGTCCCTAATGCTGGAAAAGAGAGAGGCAGGCAAAGGCAGAAACTCAGCATCGTCTTCAATCCTCCTGCGCTGAGAAGGGGGAGGCTAAGTGGCTGACTGCCTATGGGGAGAAAGGAGGAGTGATTGAGTGTTGGCATCTGTGCAGTGAGGTGGAGGCAGGGGCAGTTTGTTTGGGGTGGCTGACTCACTGCAGTCCTCTCTGTTAGGCTGGTTGGGGGGGAAGCCTGGTGTGTGCCTGTGCTAGGAGGACATTTGCATGATTATATTTCAAATAATGTTTGTGGATAGGAGCTAATGGCTTAAGATAAGAAAGAAAAGCCTCTTTTAACAGTTTCAGAGGGATACCCCTGTTAGTCTGTAGCTGCAGGACTATTCGATGGTTTTTAATTCTTTCGGCAGAATTTTTTGGTGTGCTGCAGATATCTAAACACTGAACTTAATGATTTTTTAAACTCCTGTGTTACTAATTAATATATTGTAAATTGTATTGCATTAAGGCCAGACCTTTGCTATGTGGTAGAGTTCTGGCTTTTAAGAGTGAGACGTAGCAAATACTAAGTGTTATGCTAGTTGTTTTGTAGGATTTGCAAGCTCTTTGACACATGCAAATATCTATAAACCCTGAAGCGGTGTTAATTTGTTTTGGGGCTTCTGCTCTTCCTCCAGTGGAAGAAGGCTCATTCTCTACCTTTTGTACAGCACCTTTGTATTCACTAAGGATACCTCACAGCAGCAGGTGTCGTGTCCCGGGGGGGGCTCTGTCAATATATTTTGTTCTATACACATGAACTGCTTAAATAGATGTATACATGGTATCTCTCCATAATGAGTGTTTGGTTGTATTGGTGGTGTTCATCGACACACTACCTCAATATTGAGGTGCACATAAGAAAATTCAGCTTGCCCAAGAATAGAAGATGTTAGAGGGAGCACAGCTCTCTGGCCAGCCCCAGCCAGATCCAGGTGCTCCTGGGCAGAGATTCTCTCCCAGATGCCAGAGTCCTCCTGACCCAGAATCCCACCTTGCAAGCTGGGTCCCAGTCCCACAGACATGGAGCCCCACACAGGAAGTGAGTCACCCTCCCATCTCTCTAGGAGATGGGGGAGGGAGTCATTATCCCCTTCTAAATGGGGGAAACTGAGGCACAGACAGATTCACTTTCCTTAGTGAGCTCTGTGGTGGAGGGGTCAACTATGTGTATATGCAGCACTGGGAACAACAGGGCTGTACTTGCTCCCAGAGCACAAGGAATCCAGTGTTAATGTAGCTCAGCCCAGAGCTGTATCCACCAAGTCACTGCTTCTGCAGCCCCTTCCTCATTAACTTCCGGCCAGGGCACTGCCTGGGGCAGGGGCTGGAGAACCCAGGGGATGGGATCATGGATTAAATTGTGACTCAGTTCAGATCTCAGGACAGAATTTACTCCACACACCCCTCCTCCTGGCTGCAACCCCCCCAGTGATTTTCTCTGCCCTCTGGACAGGTTTCCCCTCACCTGGGCCCAGAGCAGACCCTGGCTCTAAGCATTCCTTTGGGTCTGAACCTCCTGGCCTGTGTGGCTGGGAGCAGGGAGGCTGAGCTGGGCCCCTCACCTCTCAGCACCAGCTCTACAGGGTCACTGGGGTACGACACAGTGAACGGCTCCGATCTGCTGCGATAGAAGCAGCTGTAGCTCCCGCCCTGCTCCCGGCTCAGGTTGCTAAGGAGAAACTCAGCCTCAAATCCATCTGGATCTGCATACAGAAAATGGCCTCCCTCTGTCTTCAGCACGAAGCGCCTGCCCCGGCGCTGACCCTGACACCAGATGGTCACGGTGTCCCTCAGAGTGACCCCCTCGCTGCGGTTCAGGGAGATGCTGGGTTTGGGTTCGCTGGGCTCTGCAGTAGGAAGCAGACAGGCTGTAAGACACAGGCCTAGTCACTCAGCCCTAGGGCCTGGCCTCAGCAGTGGGTCAGACTGGGGGCCCTGGGGATAGACTCCTGAACACAGGCTCCTGGACACCTTTCCACAGGGGCCCAGAGTTTCCCTTAAGCCCTGAGCTAACAGCCTGAGACACGGTGCAACCCAGCTCTGGGGCCCAGAGCTCTGCTCCCTACCAGGTGACAGGGCAGCCCCATCTCCTGGGCCCTTTCACTTCCTGGCTTCTCCTTGTGAAACCGTCAAACAACAAGGAAAACATTGACACTGTGAGCTATTCAGTGGGCTTGAAGCCCAGACCCAGCTGGGCAAACCCTGGCCCTGTCAGGTATGTCAAGGTAAAGAGACCTCAATATAAAGATCTGATCTAGTGGCTGATGGTGATTGTGGCTTGAAAAGTGCTCAGGACCTTCAAACTGTGGCGTCCACAGCACCTTTTGGGAGGGCAGTGGAGGCTAGTGGTTAAAACAGGGACTGAGGGCAAGCACTTCTAATTTCTGAGGACAACTGGGGTTGTCGGATGTTTGAATTTTGACCGGAATGCCCTGTCGAAAAGGGTCGGCTGTGCAAGGGGAGGAGGGTAAGGCAGGCTTCCTGCCCGTTCTGGCTCCACTCTGTGCCCTGGAAGTGAGTGGCGGCAGGGTCTTGGAGAAGAGGTGGCCAGAGGCGGGGCCTTGGGGAAGGAGTGGGGCTAGCATGTTTAGTTTCCTGTTAGCTGAATCCTGGCAAATCCCATCCCTGGCGCTGGGAGGGGACTGGGGCATAGGGGACCAGGGCAGGGAGGATGGGGGCCTGGACTCCGGTGTTCTGCGCACTTTATCTGCTACCTGGGAAAGGCCCCCGTGGTGTGGGGCTCCCCTTCCCTCTGCCCTGCATCTCCAGCAGCTGCTGCTTTCCCTTGCTCTGTCCCCATCCCCTAGCAGGGCATCCCCTCTACTGGGCTCAGGGCAGAGCCTGTCTCAACGCTAAGATACCCCGAGGGTCCAGCTGGGCATGGGACTGGGCACAGAGATGCGGAGCCAGGCCCCTCACCTGCTACCACCAGCTCCAAGTTGTCACTGGGATGTGACCAGCGACTTGGCTCCATTGTGCGGTGATATTTGCAAGTGTAGCTCCCGGCATCTCCCTGGCTCACGCTCCGGAGGGGAAACTCAGCCATGGTCCCGGCCGGCACCACCTGCTGTTGCAGGTTCTGGTGCCCAGATTTATGCAGAATGAACTCCATGCCTGGGTACTGACCCTCACAGTGGATGGTGACATTTTCCCCGGTTCCCACCACCCTGCTGGGGCTCACCCAGATGACGGGTTTGGGGAATTCGTACCCTGCTTTTAACAAGAGACAGGAATTAAACAGGGAGACACAACATCCTCCATCTCCCTCCGCCGACTCAGCCAATCCCCATTCGGCCTCCCCATGACCTGCCGGTACCTTACCTATGAAATAAAGTCTGGGCATCAGGTTAGAAGTGTAGTCTGGGGTTGGAAATAGAGTCTGGGCATCAGGAGTCATGCGAGACCCCCTTTCCCAGGCCTTGGACAGTGGGGGGGTTCAGTGTGCGGGGCAGAGAGCTGTTCGGGCCAGATCTGGGGGATTTCTTCCGCACAGCTGCACTGACAGTGAACATTGCGGTTACATTAGTGAGGCAGCCGTGGGCTGGATCTGGCCGCTAGCCGCCTATTGCCCACCCCTGGGCTACACTGAGGGAAGCCAGAGTCCATGGATAGGCCCTGTTAGCATCAGTGTGAGCTGAAACAAATCCAGGACCCCCACCCCGCACAGGCCTGGGGGCAGGACACGGGGGGGCAGGAATCTTCCTCAGCCCCCAGGAGACAGATTGCATGGAATGGGGTGGGGGGAGGTCAGCAGAGGAGGAGGAGAGGTCTGAGCTCACAGTGGGAGATTGGCTTGAGTTTTAGGGGACGCTTCTGGGTTCGGTTCCTCTTTTCCCCTCCCCCAACTGTCCTTTCCCATCCTTGATCTCACTGTCCTCCCACAGGCAGATACTCACCTCCCCACACCCCACTGTGCCCGGCCAGCCAGCAGCCTGGAGAGGAGACAGATCCTTAGTGACCAGGCTCAGAGCAAGAGTCAGTTTTCCCCTTTGAACCTCCACGATTCCCTTCCCTCATAGGCACACACCCTGGTCTCCCAGCCCCCCATGGGCACATGTCCTGGTCTCAGCATCCTTCCAGTGGGCACATGCCCTGGTCTCAGACAAACCCACAAATCCCTCATGGGCACACAGCTTGGTCTCAGTGCCCCTCCCTCTAATGGGCACATGCCCTGGTCTCAGACACACCCACAAATCCCCCATGGGCGCACACTCTGGCTGTCTCTGATACTCACCGAGGAAGAGGACGGTGGGAGCAGATGCCATGATGGACAGTGAGGGGCCCCTTGGTGCTGCCACCAATGCCGCCATACCCAGCCCCAAATAAGTACTCGTCTGGTCGCTCTGGCTACAGGAAGTTGACAGTGTGGCCTCTCTTCCTGGACACAACATGCTTTGTCTCTACATTGCAGATGAAATCTGGTGTGGTCACAGTAAGCAGAAGTTCCTGCAAAACCCAGGAAACCCTGGGACTGTCAGCATTTTGCACTCACACCTTGTCTGTGTCTCATGGGGGAGTGGGGATACATCGTTCCCCAAGAGCCCTGCAGGCCTGGGGGAGGTGCACTGGGCCAGGAGGTCACAGGCTGGTCTTCAATCTCCAGCTCACCACTAGTTCCCTGCAGATCCCCTTCCCCCTCAGCTTATCTCGCTGTCTGGGATGAAACGTGGCTGGTGACTCTCATGGGTTGAGACTCGCTGCCGAGGCGCCTTCCTGCTGGTGGGGGAATCAGTCTCCGAGCACCTTCTGCTGGCCAATGCCTCACTCTCAGTTACCTGCCTCCTGCACTGATCCCGGCCCCGTGTCCCTTCCTGCCCCCGGTGCCCTTTCCTCCCAGTACTGCCCTGCCGCAGCGCACTGCACTCTGGGGTCCTCACCTCCCGGGGAACCCCAGCCCCTATGCCCACCTGGCCTCAGTGAGGCACTGCCAGTCGACCTCCAGCCCCTGCCTTGGGCAAACTGCAGCCTGACATGGCCACTCACCATTGGCAAGGGGGTGGGGACTTGCTGCCTTCTGCCCTGGCTGCCCCCCTAGTTCCCTCAGACCTTGATAGTTCCCTCAGCCTGGCAGTTTGCCTAGCCAGAGCTCCCCAGCTCTGCCTGCCCTTCCCCAGCCCTGTTCTGTCTCAGGTGCCCTCTGTAGCTTCCCTGGCAGCCAGATCCCTCCTGCTCTACAGCAGGAGCAAGAGTGTGTGTTTTCTCCTCCTCTCCTCTATATGCCACAGCTACCTGCTCCACATTCCCAGCCCTCTCCTGGGGCTGGCTTTAACCACTGTTAGGACCAGTGTGGGGCAGAGGCCCTGTCACAGTGACCCAGGTAGGTGGAATTAATACGTGATCGTGCAATAAAGTATGGCAGCATAATATATTTGAATAAGGGGCAGAATTAAGGGTGTTTGGGAAACAGTCACTGTGGAATTTACTGGTTTGGGAGCTTTGACTAGGCAGCTGCGCTCCTCTGCCTGCAAAGCTGCCCACGGTTGACACAAACCCTGGCACTGTGTGAGGAGCAGGTGTGATGGGGAACACCTTGTTTTGCTGCGCCCTGTGCCATAGCTAAGAGGTGATGGCGGCTTTACACTGTTCTAAGGGTCTTTTCACTGTCTGTGAATTAAATAAACCATGTTCTAAAGAAAACGGGAGCAAGAGAAATTCCACCCCATGCCCCCAACGGGTCACTCGCTGGGAGAGATTGAGGGACTTTCTAATATCTCTATAGAGGCAGTGCCCTAGGGCTGTCACTAAGGGATTGTGGGGCCTGGGGCATCCCTCCCACATGCCTCCATAAAGACTCTGCCCCCTGAAGTGCCAGGCCCCTAGAGAGGGATGTGACACAGGCCTGGCTCTCCTCTGGGCCACTCTGGCCCTAATCCCAAAACCAATGTGCTATGGGGGAGGTGTGAGCACAGAGAATTGACAAAGATGAATCAGGTGAACAGATGGGAGGTGTCTGGCAGATGTTTCTGTGCTGAAGAGCACAGGCCCGCTCCTCTGATCCAGGTCTATCCCCTGCAGTTTGCCCCAGTGTTTTCCGATGCCCTTCCCTTCCTTTCTCCAAAGACAGAGGTGGCTGTGTGAACCAGGATAGGGAATGATACAAAATCAGGGATTTGGAGTAGAGCGGTAACGTACAAGCCAGTCAAACAACAAAGAAAACACTGATACTGAGAGCTATTTAGTGGGCTTGAAGCCCAGACCAAGCTGGGCAAACCCTGGCCCTGTCAGGTAAGTCAAGGTAAAGAGACCCCGATACAAAGATCTGATCTACTGACTGATGGTGACTGTGGCTTGAATGGTGCTCAGGACCTTCAAACTGGGGGGTCCACAGCCCCTTTGGGGAGGACAGCTGAGGAGTCCCTCAATGTTATTCAGAGAGAGAAGAGAGCTGCAGACAGTTCTGATGGGGAAGGGTGGGGTGAGCTGATGGGGAAGGGTGGGGTGTCTGTTCCTTTCCCCTCACGGGTGCTGTTGGGGAGGAATTTCAGAGGAGACCCGCACTCTTGCTGCCTCTGGGGCTGACAGCTGAGTCTGGCGTCGCTCACGGGCTTAAATGGGCTTTTTGGTGGGAAACCTGAGGGGAGCGGAACTCTCGCCAAGGCGGGAAAATCTGGTCGGAACCGGTTCCCCAACAGCCTTGGAATGTTCCAGAGCGAGAGGGCAAAGCCCAAGATAGAACCCAGGGTGTCAAAAGGGACCGACTCCATTTTGTTTTACATGAAATCACTGTTTTAACATCAAGATCAACAACATATAGGCATAAACATGCCACACAATGATATATCTATTCCAAATTAACATTCCAAATTGACTGCTAACAGAGGGAGGCAGGTCAGGTTCATGGGGCAGGTGCAGGTGCTGTGCAAATGGCCCCCCCCCCCGATCCCTGGGTGTGGGACATGGGCCTGAGAGGGAATATCTGAGCACAGGATAATGTGTGTGTCTTGCGGGTCACAGCGTGTCACTGTTTCTCCAGCTTGGGACCATGTTCAGTGTCGGGGCTGGTCCCATCCTCCCAGAGCCCCTGATCCTGGCACAGCTCAGCAAGATGGGGACAGACCCTGCACCCCTCCCCCTCGCTAAACCTAGACCTTGCTTTAAGTTAGGGTAAGAGGAAGCTGCATACCAAATTTGGTGGTCCTAGCTCTTACCATTTGGGAGAAATTCTTGACCCAACAGATGTGCCCTTTAGTCTGAGGCAAGGTGCACTGGGCTGGGAAACAGGAGACCACGGGATCTGGTGTTCAGTCTTTGACTGACTGCTATCTCCATAAAGATTCCCCTCCCCACCCTTTTTTACATTCTGGGTTCAAGCTACTGGTGACTCACATTAGCGAAATGAATATATGATCATGCTATAAAAGGATGGTGTCGTCATTCATGTGAATGAGGGTGCAGAATTAAGGGCCGTGTTAAGCAGAGAAAACCATAACTAGGCATTTCTTGGTTCTGGAGGGTTGGACTCTATCTCCCCGCCCCCGTAGCCTGCAAACCTGCCCAGGTGTGACATGAACTCTGGCAACATGCAAGGAGCAAGTGCGATTGGGATCACCTGGATTTGCTGCTCCTGAGCTGAGTGGTGATTGTGACTTTACACGGTAATGCCTGGTTCTAAGGGTCTTTTCTCAGGGCATGTCTAGACTACGTTTAAATTTTGAAAGAGGATATGCAAATTTGGCGGGTATTTGCATATCTGCTTCTGATTGCTTTTTCAAAAGTGAAAGCAGTTTGGACGTGGTTTTTTTGGAAAAAACCCTCTTTTTCAAAAAGAAAAAAAAAGC